CATAAGAATGATTACTCTGTCATTGTCAGTGTTATGCCGGACGACAAAGACAGAACCTTCGTTCCAATGAGTACGCTGTTCCTTGGTTTCGAGAATAAAGTTCCTGCTGAGAGGCTGAGCTAAGCCGCTGGGACCGCCTGCATGTACCCATTGTCATCAATTTTTTAAAAAAAACTTCACAATACCTGCCAAATAAATATAATGAAACGAGGATGGAAAGTGAGGACAGGAAACGAGGACGGGAAACGGAGCTGGGAAATGAAAAGACAGTAAGTGACATTTTCAAAAAGTCTGTGATGACAACATTACATATACGGTTAAAAATAATAGTTATTTAAACAACAACTTTTGAAAAGACTTTTTTCGCACGGCGAGACAGTTTGTTGGACCGAGCCGTAGGCGAGTTCCACAAGTCAAGCAAGTGTGAAAAAAGGTTTTCAAACGAGTTTTTTACAATGCTTTTCCTACAACTGCAAAATAAAACAACCAAATATGTAATTTTCATTTGTTAGAAAACTTGAAGCGTGTGAATAGTTATTTTCCTAACAAGTGCGCAAAGTGGTACTTTTCCGCACGCAAACACAGTTATACGAACGACGCGAAGCGGAGTTCGGATACGTGTTTGCGTGCGGAAAAGACACTTTGCGCACGTGTTAGGAACAAAATTTTTCCTACGAGCTTCATATCAGGTAGGTAATAACAAAAAATTTAAAAAAAAAAACGATAATTTGTTTAATTATTTTTGATTAACTTGAAGGGAACCTATGCATTTATCAAAAAATTACATAACAAAAAAAAATAACAAAAAATCCTCGTCAGAGCTGTTCATCTTAAAGCGTTTAAATTTGATGAGAAAGTTTGTAGATTTTTGCATATAAATAGAGAACAAATCTGACAATGTGTCAAAGTTAATTTATATTTGGTGTTTGTATAGATGTTGGCTGATATAGAAACAGAGAAAAAATTTGTCATCATGTGTCGAAGTCGACAGGTACACTTATTGTTGCTTGACAATTGTAATTACTTTTCGGCACTCAGTGCGGATAAGGCCTGTATCCGCACTGAGTGCGGAAAAGTGTAACTTTGAGAACCGAAATGCGTGCGGAAAAGTACTACTTTGCGCACGCTCGTAGGAAAAAACTTTTTCGCATGCTGAGGAGCGTGTGAAAAACTTTTACGCACGCTAAAATGCGTGTGAAAAACTTTTTCGCACACTGTGCAAAAAACTCTAATTTCAGAGGTTGCCTAGCGTGCGAAAAACTCCATTTTCAGAGGCAGTCATAGGAAAAATAGATTTCCTACCTGGGCCTACTAGCCCCCCTATAAATCTTGAATATGCATTACCCTAGGCATTTATCACATTTTTCTTAAATACTAAATTGTTTCCATACATTTCAATCGAGATTTCAATAAAAAACTAAGTTGTCATATTTCAAAAACCACGTCAAATGGAGGTTTAGCATTTAGGGGTTTCAGTAATTTTGGGATGCTGAATTATTTACAATAAAAATAAAGAGGGACTTTCATTTAAAAAAATTAAGTTACATATGGCATCTTGAACGGTAAGAAAACAAAAATTACTAGCGGGTTGTCAACATTAAAAACAAAAGTAACTAAATGATTGATTCTCGCTATCCTTTTTGTTTATTTACTTTCTCTCTCTGATTCTATAAACAATGAAAGGAAACCAAAATTTGGTAAAGTGAATAGGTAGATATTTCTATTCTGCCCAATACAATGTTAAAATTGATGGCTTTTCTTTTCAAAAACATTCGAAATAGGCGGCAAATTTAAATTTTAAATGTAATTTATCCAGTAAAGGTGGGTTTAGCCAACTCTTAATGGATAATGCATAATTTTAATTCATAATTGATAATGCGTAATTCATAACCCCTTATGCATAAGAGAAAGGTGGTGTTTATACAACGCATACAACACATAATTTTTGTGCATTAGAATTAACAAGACAGCTGAGTTTTGACATTTGTTATTTTTCATGATATAATAAATAATGAAACAAATAATGAATTAGACTTTATATTATCAGGAAAAATCTCATTTGTATAATTAAAATCGGAAAAACTCGATTCCGGATCAAAAAACATTGAAAACAACAGGAAAACACACAACCAGATTTCGAGGTTATGAAGCAAAACCAACACAAAAACAAACTTGGAAATATACGCTTGCGCTCTAGCGTTTTTTGCACAATGCATAATAGATAATTCGTAAAAGTTAAAAGTTGGTCAACTTTATGAATTACGCATTATGCACTAAATTATCCACTATCCACTATGCATTGTATAAACGGGTGTATTTAAATGTGAACTTTTAAAAATTATCGATTATGAATTAAAATTGTGCATTATGCATTATTAGTTGGCTAAACCCAAGAATCGTAAACTCTACAGGATTGCTCAATCCCTTAAGACAAACGTTCATAAAAATATCGAAGATGGCGGTATGCGAATGACGTCACGCAGTCCTTGATCGGTTTGTGTTTTTTATGACAGTGCACTATCCTTGCATTTTCAAACGTGAAAAATTGTTATTTTGAGGTTATTTCCTTTGAAAACTGTATTTTGTAATTAATTTATTGATTTTAAAATTAGCAGACTTCAAAAGCTTGTGTCCTTGAGGTTGAGTGGTTGGCTAATTGCTAATTAGAAAGACGAGTTTGTTTGCTTTTGTTTATCAATTAGCCAAACATATTGCCAAAAAGTCAAAAAAACGAAGGGCTGGAGTCAAGCTGGCCCCCGGATTCGTTTCAATGTTTTTTTTTGTGTATGAAAATGAGCACAATTCGCATAAATACTGGCACAATTGAGCACAAAACGGGCACAATTGACTACAGTTGAGAAACAGTAGAAAACCAAATGTGGGGTGCCGAGCCGGTTTAATTTTTGCATTTCAATATCAAAATATAAGCGAAACGGGGTTGCAATAGTGTGCTTTATTTTTTACTGACCCTACCTAGGTACTTCTCAATTATTATTCATTAATTTAATAGGTACTAGAACGATTTAATATGGACATTCAAAGTGAGCTTATTTCACAAAGCCAAATAGTGATACCTAATTTAGATTCTCATAATCATATTCCAGAAAAACATTGCAAGCTTCCCATATTTTCCATGCGTTTTCATAGTAAACGCGCCAGTAAAGGAATTTATTTACATATTTATTTATTCACTCTTCACAAACCCTAATTTTTATTAGTAATTACATGCAAAGGAAACTTACAACTAAGTAGATATTTGATTTATAAAAAAAAAGCAAAACAAATGCTTGACTAGGAAATACTACAGTGGCTAAATAAACCTTTACATACAGTGGAGACAATAGAGGTCCCGCCGCCATCTTGTTCCCAACCTCTTGTTACTTTTAAATATTGATATATAAGATTTAAATGGACATCTATCATAAAAAATTGAAATCGATATATTTGATAACCGTTATTAGGTCTATCAAATACGTTGTTTTCCCTGTTTTATGATGGATGTTCACCTAAATCCCATATATTCATATTTAAAAGGAATAAGAGGTTGGGAACAAGATGGCGGCGTTTTCAATATAAATATATGGGATTTCAGAACCAATCAAAAATAAGACAGCAATTGTCGCAATAGAGTCACTGTAGGAAATACTAACTAGCAATACACACAAATAAAAGAGCGATGTCCTGATACAACAAATCCAGTATTATAAAACCAGAAAATGCTTGGGGTTTTCGCGAGTATTTTCAGCCACGAGTCTTTTATGCTTACACACATTAAATGAAACTTTAAATTTACACTTATAACACTAGATAAATCCGAATTTACGATAAAATAGTTGTCAGCACAAACTAAACATCATTCGTATCAGCGGCCATCTTGAAAATCCGGCATGCGCGTGACGTCACAGCAATTGTGAACAAATTTAGCCGATTGAGCAATCCTGTAGAGTTTACGATTCTTGGGCTAAACCCACCTTAAGTTTTGTTTTCAATGTTGACAGGTATACGCTAGTAGTTTTTTTTTTTCTACTTTTGGCAACTATGTTCGCGCACCGCAAAAGAAGAAAACAAAAATTACTAGCGGGCTGTCAACATTAAAAGCAAAAGTAACTGAATGTTTGATCCTCACTATCCTTTTTGTTTGTTTACTTTCTCTCTCTGATTCTATAAACAATAAAGCCTATAGAACTTGTAACCGCGAAATTCGCTCTTTTTTAAAAGTGCTTCGACAAGTTGACGTTTGATTCACGCATAAAACGTCAAATTAACGAAGCAATGTCAAAAAAGAGCGAATTTCGCGGTTATGAGTACTAGGCTTTAGAAAGGAACCCGAAATTTGGTGAAGTGAATAGGTAGATATTTTATTACTTCTATTCTGCCCAATACAAGTTAAAATTGATGACTGTTTTTTTCAAAAACATTCATAATAGGCGGCAAATTTAAATTTTAAATGTAAATTATTCAGTAACTTTGGTTTTTAATGTTGACAGTACGCTAGTGATTTTTTTTTTCTACTTTTGGCAACTATGTTCGCGCACCGCAATATGGCGTCCAAACAAAAGGTCAATTGGGCATTTCCAAAATCCCCCCTGGGTCCTTATTCTTGAAAATAGAGAGCAGCCTTCCCAAGAGAAAAAGTGTTTCGTCGAGTACATTTTTCTCAACTGCGTTCTGAAATATTAGGCCGTTTCCATACATAACGACAACTCTGTATATTTTTTCTTTGTAATATATTTCTCCTAAAAATAGCTTGAGCTTGGTAGGATTAAATTCTCATAGTTCTGGCGAACACAGATAGATGCATAGGCATCTGAAAGAACGAGCCTTTTTATTGTAGATTATTATTATAATTTAATTGTACACCTTGATTAATGAATTTTTTACTGCTGCTACTGTTCTTGTACTTTTGATGCAAAGAAAAACATCTAAATACCAAAATACCCATGAAATGATTATGTGTGTTGGTTACAATGGAATTTTATTGTAGACTGTTGTTAACTTACCACAAGGATTTAGTAGATGAAAACTAAAAAATTCAATAGAATACCAAATTAATTTATCAATAATTTTATAAAGGATGGTTGAGAATGTTGAGATGATTTTGATTTATTTTTCGTGAATGAAAAAGAACAACATTAAATAAACCTAACCTCACTCACTCCAAACTTCACTTTAGGCACTTTTCAAAAGTCCACCGAAAAATTCCGGTAGAGGTAAAAGTCAGTTCCGTCGATGGATCTGGAACGCTTTCTTGGAACGCTCTCAACTTCGCGAGTCGGGATCAGTAAATCAGAATCAGAAATAAGTTATATTTTAGGAGTACTGAAATTTATTTGTTAACCGTTGGTCCAAGGTCCCTGGAGTTAATAGGTTGTCTGGTAATGTGTAACTTGATGACGTCTTTGGAGTTCCTTATGAACATTTGTTTGCATTAGTTAGGCAATCGTGCAGGCCCAGAATTTCATGGCGAGGGAGTTAGGGGAGTAGCACCCGAACGACTCGAATATTCTGGTTCGGAGGGCTTTACAATCGAAACTCGAAAGCGCTTCAAGCGATGAGTGTCAAATGAAATTCAATATGGCGGTAATTGGCAGACAGGAAAGGTAAACATAAACATTGCAGCTTGCCCTGTGCCTGCTTTGTAAACTTGTTAAGTTTTTTTTTTTAAGTGAAAAGTGTTATCTTAACTCAAAATTATGCCTATGTCATGCCTCGTATTTGGTTGCACCAGTCGCGCAAATCGTGATGTGGTGTCCTTTCATTCCATCCCCACAGAACTTAGTTTCAGGTTCTTAACGCATAAAAACGATTTGTCTAGAAAACGCAGAGCTGCATGGATCGCAGCTCTGAGGCGGAACGATCTGACTATGTCTAAAATAGCAAACTACAAAACTAACGGTCGAATTTGCAGTAGACATTTTATAACTGGTAAGTATAATATGATGATATGCTTTTCATTTGGATAACTTCTGTACTTACCTACAATTTCATTTTTTCCCAAGATAGATTTTGACAGTCAACTTTGAAACATAACAATGCCGGTACTTAATACCGCTTACAGCCGTATTCACCATACTGTAACAGACTGTTAAATTGCTTAACTGGTCAGTTGAATTATATCATAAATTGCATTCAAGTTTTCTTGCAAGCTGTAAAACGGCCTTAATAGCAAGTCTTGCTTTCAAGAGTCTTGCATCATTCATTACGTTCAAAAGCGTATAGGGGGCGTGTGTGGTAGAAAAATAGGGCCAAATTGTGGATCAACTGGTAAGTGTCTGGTTGTTACCTAGCAGGTATTTTCTATTCTCTAGTGCATAGAAAGTACCTGCTAGGTAGGTAACAACCAGATGTTTACTAATCAGTCCATAATTTGACCCTAAAGGCTTTTTTTTTAGGAAACAGTTTCAAAAACCGTTTTAAAACAGTTCCAGCTCTATCGTCACTATTTTATGCACTACAATGCTAACAGACTGGATTCTTTGATGATTGAAAACGAAAAGGCCTTCACATTGAGCTTGAAATTCAATATTGTGTATGCAGTGTCGTTGTCCATCATGACCAAAAATTTTCCTAGCCATACTTGCTGCAAGAACTGTTAGCAAGTTATTTGCTCTCTCCTTCATTTCCATGTCTTCGAACGAGTTTTTTTTCGTTATTTTTGTCAATGACTTATTAAGTTTGGATCCCAATGCCCAATTTATGTCATATGCTGATGACACAGCGATAACAATGAGTGAGGGCACTTGGCTGGGTCTAGAAAATAGAGCGAATAATGTTATTAATAATGTAGCAAACTGGCTTAGAGAAAATGGTTTATCATTAAACATCGAAAAAACTAAATATATTTTATTTAGCACATATAAAGATAAGGCACCAGATAAGTTAAATATTGTGATACATGATGATAGTTGTAACATAGGGTCTTGTACGGGTAGAGAGTTAGGCAAAGAACATTTTATTAAATATCTTGGAATATTTGTAGACTGTAACATGAATTTTAAAGAACATATTGAACAACTTAAAAAAAATTTGAGATATTTGTTATTCATTTTTGCAAATTTAAGAAACTTTCTTAATACAAAAACTTTAATATCTATTTATTATGCGCTATTTGAATCAAAAGCAACATATGAAATAATATCATGGGGAAGCGCATATGGTAATGCCATAAACTCTCTCCAATCGATTCAAAATAGAATTGTTAGGCTAATTTTTAAAAAGCCATTGGCACAACTCGATCAGTGTTATAAAGAAAACAATCTACTTAAAATAAGACAAATATATTACCTTAAAGCCATTACAACAAATCATTATAAGAACTTGAAATCTGAATATTTACATACAAAACAAATAACTAGAAATAAGAGCATTCCAGTAATGAAAACAAAGCTAGAAGTAGGCAAAAAAATCACAAAATGGATTGCTATAAAAATATATAACTTACTAGATGATGACCTGAAAAATTTTAACTTCTCAACAAAAGCTCTCAAAAATAAGATAAAGTCCTGGATCTGTCAAAGAAATTTAGAAATTAAAATTTTTATATAAAGAACCTAATATTATGCCGGCCCTGGTAATTATTACATATTTCCGAAAAGAATTTCAAATCCGTTATTGTTTTGATTTTTTTTGTTTTGTTATTTTTTTTTTGAATTATTGTTATATAAGTATAATAAAATATAGGTATAAATAGGTACTCTATTTATATTGTATTATTTAGGTTTGTTGTTAAGTGTAGAGGTGAATTGTGATTTTTCACGTTCACGCGCCAAGCCTGCAAACAGAACATTTTGTGTTCTCAGCAGGATAGGGTATACCGATTATAACGAACGTAGGTAACATAGGTACTCTAATGTTTTATGTTTACTCTGCTTTGTATTAAGGTGTGTACTGTATTTTGGCATAAATAAATGAATTGAATTGAATTGAATTGAGTCCTCGAATTTGGTCTCCAAATCGCGCAGCCTCAGCTTTAGGCTCGGCTTTAGGCATTTATTTTCGTTCCGAAGCATTTGCATTTCCTTCATGGCATTTTCCAAGGCAGTTTTTTGTTCGTCAAAGGCTTTCGACAATTATATTTGAATAGTTGCTAAGGAATCAATGAATAACAATACTATAGGACTCGCCCTAGGATTTAGATTTCTGAGAACTTTGAAAGGTAATAACTTTTTTTTCTATGCATTTTCAAAGTATTCTCAGCGATTTCCATGAGTGATTTACCCCTCGCTTCTGTAAGAATATTAATTCAAATTCAAATTCAAATTCAAATTCTTTATTCATGTTATTATACAGAGCAGAGTACTTACACACGTCAAAAATGTAATAAAAAAAAATAGAGTAAAGCACTATTCATTATATAAAAATTCTAAAAAAAATTGTAAAACTTAATCCTAATTTACCACAATTTAAAAAACAAGAATTTGAAAAACAAGTCAGGTACTATAGAATACATCACACTTTCAAAGGATAACATTACAATTAAAAAATTCACTAACACTATAAAATCCCTTACTCAGAAGAAAATCTTTGAAAGCCCTTCTAAAAGTATTGGGGGGCATCTCCCAAACGTGAGGGGGCAGCTTATTAAAAAGCCTGATCCCAAGGAAGCCAGGGCCATCTTGACCTCTTTTAAGTCGTCTGTGCGGGGGCACTAGTTGCCCACGGTTGCGGGTTTCATAGGAATGCACATTCTCATGCCTGTCAAGATTATGCAGGTTATTCCTCACATGCAGTACACATTCAAGAATGAATTGAGCAGGGACGGTCAAGATCCCTAGGGACACAAACGCGTGTCGACAGTCATCACGGTATGATAAGTTTGCGATAACCCTAACTGCACGTCTCTGGACACGGAAGACATCTGTTGCGCCAGTACAATGGCCCCAAATTAAAATTGCATAAGATATATGGGAGTGCAAAAGGGCAAAGTATGCCTGTCTCAGGACTGACTGGGATACACTGTCTGACAGCCTACGAAGTAGAAAGGTGTTTGAGCTTAATTTGGAAACCAAGGAAGATGTGTGATGATTCCATCTTAGTCTAGAATCTAAAGTTATGCCTAAGAATTTAACAGTGACATCATCTTCCGGAAGCCATCTCATGGAAAAGACCATGTTTTGAGTTTTGGCCATGTTCAAGAACAAATTGTTGGCCTTGAACCAGAGCTCTGCCCTTTCCTGCGCCTCACGCGCCGCCGTCCTAGCTCCCTCGTAATCATGGCTGGTGCAAGCTATGGTAGTGTCATCCGCGAAGAGGGTGTACCGGGCGATGTGATCTGCTCGAGGTAGATCATTTATATAAATAAGAAACAAAAGGGGTCCCAAGATTGACCCCTGTGGTACACCAACCAGCACCTCCCTCTCCGAGGATTCCACACCACCAACCCTCACCACCTGAGGACGGTTTGACAAGTAACTAGATAGAACTGCAATACTACTATCGGAAAAATTATATTTTTTTAGTTTGGCAAGTAAAATTTTCCGTGAAACGCAGTCAAAGGCTTTGCTAAGGTCGCAGAACGTCCCGGACATGTACGTACCATTTTCAAAGGACTCTTGTATCTGAGAGACCAGATTAAGAACAGCTGATGTTGTATTTAAGTGTCGTTAGACCACTACCAGGGTACCTATTTAAGAAAAAAAAAACACGAGATTTTTTTTTTTTTGCACCACAATTTTACGACAAAAAAAGCGATAAATTATTTACTTATGGCCGTTTGTACCGACCATTTTGAGGGAGCCTTAAGGGCCCCATACACTACGTTCGTTCTCGTCGGTTTTCATCGCCACGATGGAACTCAGAAACTCGTCGTTCCAAAACCGAAGTGTGTGGTAGAAAAACACGACGGTTTTCTATCACACACTTCGGTATTGTTGTTCCATTTATATTGATATTGGCCATTGAATTTATGTAGGTGATAAACAAAATTGGAGCGATGATTGTTCCCTGTGGAATACCTGTTTTAATATCCATAGAATCGCTATAGGAACTTCTAATTTAAACTAGGTATTTGTCTTCTATCCTTTGAATATGACCGAAAAACACCGCACCTCTGACACCATAGTCCTGTAGAATACCAAGTAGTCTGTCGTGAGGTACGGTGTCGAATGCCTTTACAAGATCCAGAGACACGGCGATGCTCCTCTTTCCAGAGTCCAGATGTGAAGTAATTTGAAAAAACCAGCTCACACATTGCATCGGATGTACTTACTGAAACCCTCAATAAAGCCATACTGATTTTTGTTTATTATATCAATATCCCAAAACAATTCATAAGCCGGTTTTTCAGACATTTTTCGAAAATCTTTCCAAATTTATTTATCCCACTTATCGGTCGATAATTATTTATATCATTTTTATTTCCTGTCCTATATACATGAGTAACCACCGTCGGTCGCCTTAAAATGTACCGGTACAATACCAGTTTCAAAAATTAAAATAATATGAGCTAGTGGTAGAATATATATAAATAGCTATTATTAACATTTCAAAATTGACAATACAATACTTAATACTCAATTGAAATACTGGTACCCTTTATTTATAAAAATGAAGGTATACCAATAAGGTTTATACATAACACTCAAGTAGCTAACTTTCTAGGAAAACCTTCTCCCTTGGAAAATGAAGATGATCCTGACTGGATACCATCTCTATATATGGGGTACGATGGGGACGTGTTTCCCTCGGAGTTTCCAAGATACAAAAAACGAAGACAAGCTGAAGTTGTTGATGTTGATCCCGTAGCTCTAGACACAAAACCCCTAGAGATTCCGATAATTAAGACAGAAAACATTGGAAAGGAGGTGAATGAAATATTATCTTTTCCAATAACAAATTGTACTTATAGACATAAGAACATTATTCTATACTTTACTGTATTCCTTTTTCATTAGATTAGTCACGAGATGGATATGGATGGATATGAAGTGCCTCAAAAATCTCAGGATGACGGTGAAATTGAGACTCGTGAAGGTAAAAGTAAAACATACAAAGTCTTACTGCATCTGATGATACAGCGTTAAATAATAATATAAAATATACAGGGTAATTACAAAGTCTGGGATAATTCATCTATTTATTTTACCAGACAAATAGATAAATAATACAGAGATTTAAACTTGTGTACAGGGGCGGATGGGGAGCATAAAACCAGTCCGGGAAACCAGATTTTCATTTCAAATCGGAAAAATCGGGGTGGACTGTTTTTCCTGGGACACCCTGTATGCTTGCGCGGAAGCAAGCGGCCCTTCAGGAAACTTCCCAAAATCCCTACCGGCCTGTCTGCCCCTGCTTGTATGGCAATCTGTCTTATTCTCTTATTTGCACCAGATAAAAAGGGAAGGAAGAGGTCATTCAAAAACTCGAACAATTTTTAAATTCGGTATTGGAAATAGAAGAAAAATGTATAATATTTCAGTCTTGGACCTGCAAGCCCCCCTATAAATCTAGAAATATTGTGCAGGGTGATCTATTATAAATGTCACCCCCTTCTAACCTTTTCATTTGACGTTTTTGACAAAAGTGTCAAATACAAAAGTTTTGCGAAATTATCAAAAGTTTTTAACTGAGTCAGTTTTAACCATACAGGGTACGTCAAAAAAGTGTAGCAGTGCGAAGTAATATTCTTTTAAATGGAACACCATGTATATTGTGAGCTTATTAGTTAATCCGCTTTCAACGATATACGGTTTGATATGTCTTTCCCACCCAGGGGGTGCACCCTAGCGAAATACCGATAGGGTCAAAAACTTTCCCCCTTGAATACAAAATTGACGTGTCCGAGCGTTGTTTTTAAATCGACCTAAAAATACCCTAAAACACCTCTGTTTCGATGTTCGTGAAACACCATGTTTACTTGGCGAGTTAAAACAGAAAATTTCTAAATGACACATTAAATAAAGATTTGATTGATTTGATCGAGAAGATTACTTATAAGGAAGTATTTGAAGTATTTAGTTCACAAGAGAATTTATGAATTTAAAATCGCACACCAAGTTTTCCAGAAATGTAGATACATTTTTAAATGACCCATGATTTCAGTAAAGAGGACTCAAGACATAGAAACACCAGCATTTTATATGTGTAGATTCATAAACATTTGATTTTATTTTCTAAAATTAATAATTATCAATAATTAATAATTACTCTTACTAGTCTTAAGGGAAACCTTAATGTTAAGTATTCCTTAAACTGACATTTTTCCATTATCATTAAGGCTTCCCTAAAACAGTTGGTGGAAACGGCCATTGCTATACCTGCTTCATTTCTATTGAAAGTTTTAAAAAATAGGGGAGGTATGATTATCGATTATCGTCTTGTTTGGTCACTATAACAACAGAAACTTTATTCGTTCCCCAATAATGGAATGGGAATAGATGGTGCATTTTTAAATTAAGTTTTCACACTTTTACAGACTTTTGCAAAATGGAGGACGATTTGTTACTCAAAGAAGATGAATTCTACAAAGAAAACGAAAAACTGGAACTTCGGACCAAACAATTATTGGTCAAAGTAAACGACGTAATGGTAAGGAATAGTTCTCGTTTACGAGTAATTTATAATTCAATTCAGTCTTTAGACGCAATAATTGAAATTAAAAAAAAAATTCTACTGTCTTAAGATTACCTGATTTTGGTTTCTCAAATTTTGTGAATGGTGAAATGAACATGTGAAAACTAATTAAATTTTAAAGTTCTCCATATAATAAGATAAACCAATTATAAATTTTCAAAATTTCTCATTATATTAAGTAGTATGACTTAACTTAAATGGACAGTTTTCTTGAAAAAACTAAAACTGTTTTAAACTAAAGGGCTTTAAACTGTCAGTCAAAAAAGTCGTTTAATTTCAAAATTTGTAATTATTTTCTTTGTAGAAAATTCAAGACAATTTAATAAAAGACACATACAAAACTCGTACAGAACTGAACGAAGTTATAAAAGGAAACAAATATCCAAAAAAAACCATCCCAGAGGAAACACTACGATTATTAGATGAAGCCAAAAACGATGAAAGACTAGGCAGTGCCAATACTGACAGAATATTACGAGTTTTTAAAGGAAAATTTATAGCCGCTGAAGCTGACAAAGAAAAGTTGCAGAATGAATTGAGACAAAAAGTGAGTTTTATATCAGAAAATGATAATAATTAATCTTGGCCCATTAGCATACAAACTATGATGATAGGAAATATGTTGTGCTTTTTTACTACTTATTTCTGAAAGATGAAAAATTTCAGAATGAAGAAGCCAAGAAGCTGCAAAAGGAAAACCAAATGCTTAAGGAAGAGAAAGAAAAATGGTTTTTATCGTACAATTCTGGCAAAAATACCATCGGAAAATTAGAAAGTCAAGTAAGAACTTATTTATTTTTAAACTGTTTATAGTGATTTTCACAGCAGTCAAAATACCTAATTACCAGAAAAATTACATAGAAGTTATTAGAATTTCAAGAACATTTCTTGAATTGTTTAGATTACCAATATAAGTGCCAAACTCCAATCCAAAGAAACAGAAAATGCTTGTTTGAAAAAAGAACTCGAGCACCTAAAAAAACAGCTGAAAAATGGCAACTTGAACTTCAACAATTGCGAAGTTAGATTGACTCGAGCTTGCGAGGAAAACGAAAAACTTAAAGGTTCATTGAAACAGGCAAAGGAAGAAGAAAAAGATCTTAAGGATGGATATAGAAAACAATTAAACGAACTTACGAGTGTTGTCAAACATTTGGAGAAACAAAAGATTGAGCTTTTAAATGGCTTCAAGAAACAGACACAACTTATAGATGTCTTGAAGAAACAGAAAGTGAGTTATACCTACCTGTAGAGAAATAAAAAAAATATATATTAATGATATGCATTCTTTCGAACAACTGTCTGTATATTCTGTTTTTTTTTTTAGATTCACGTAGAAGCATTAAAACTTGGTGAAATGACGGAAGCAGAATATTTGAAAATTTTGGATTGGAATTTTGATAAATAATAATAAGCCTTGTGTATTATAATTTAGTTTTATATTGTTTTTTGTATATAATTGTTATAATAAATTCAAATTTCTATTTAATTTTTTCATTTATCCATTATCAGAAGAAAATTATCCGTAATTGATTGGATTAAAATTTATATTAAATATTATCAGGAATCAAATGCCTATGAGTCTATGGCTGGGATCCAATGAGGTAGCTGGGATCACTACAGTCTTTTATAAATAAACATTTTATCAAAATTTACACCTTTCAAATGTTGATGTTCGACTTTTTCATCTTTAATCGCAGGAGGGCACCGTAGGTTAAAGTTTTATAGTAACAGTCTCCATAAAAAAATTAAAGGAGAATTATGAGATGAGATGCAACTTTGTGTACATACAATGTAAATTCGAATTTGGAATCTCAAGCCCTATTTCAAGTATGACAATGGGCAATAATATTGCTATTTATGTACCAAGGGGATTATGTAGATTATAATGCCCGAAGGCGAAACTAGCCCGAGGGCCTATGGCCCGAGGGATATATTTCGCCTGAAGGGCATTATAATCTTAAAATCCCCGTGGTGCATACAATGCTTTATTTTCTACTCAACACAATGTTCTTTCATCAATTTATTATTAACAAAATCAGTTAAACTTGTGTGACAGAATATTGTTTTGTATTTTGACAAGTACCTGTACCTGTGACACCTAGAAACGAAATAAATTAATCACTATCACTATATCACTATCACTACATCACTTCACTACATATGGTATAATAGTATAAAACAAAGTCGCTTTCTCTGTCCCTATATCACTATGTATGCTTAATCTTTAAAACTACGCAACGGATTTTGATGCGGTTTTTTTTTATAGATAGAGTGATTGAACAGGAAGGTTTATATGTATAATAACATCCATTAAATAGTGGAGAAATACTGTTATTTTTGAGGTTTCCAATGTGATGTAAATAATTACATTTCTTCCGCTTACATTGTAAACGCAGGAAGCGATTTGAACCAATACAGCATTGATCCTTATCCAATTAAATACCTTAAATACATTGTTGATTCTGTAATATATTAATTGTTGTAAAAATAAAATAAATAGGTAAAAATGTAAAAAGTAAATAAGTAAAAATGTAGTGTATGAATTTAGATTTTTAGATATTCCAAAGAGAAGAAGCAGGAAATCTTCATGGTACTTATAGGGAAAGGGGAATTGTTTTACTCCAAATTTAACGCGTGCAGGCCACGGGCAGTAATGAATAAATCAAAACTACTGGATAGATTTTAATCAATTTTTCAGTGAGTGACATAGGCTATTTATTTTATACCCGTGCGTGCCCGTGCGAAGTCGGAGCGGGCCGCTAGTATATCTATAAATATCTCATAAGGCAAGGCAACGGTAGTGGTCCTGTGGGTTAACGCGCTGGACTACATGGGAAACGTTGATGGTAGACAGGGCCGATCCTAGGGTATGAGCCGCCCGCGTGCAAAGAACAATTGCGCCGCCCCCGCCTCATAGAGATATAGCACCCTTACGTAGGTGTGCCTCAAAATGAAAGTTTTTGGGCGTTTAGAGTTAAAAAAAAACTTGTTTGGAACAACATATCAACATATTTGTTTTCTATGAGTTGTTTGAATGCGGGTGAGTGGTGATCAATAATGACAAACACTATCCTAAACTAAGTAGGACCTGGCTTGGGCGTAGACGAAAGTGAAAAATAGGGCCCTGTGGAAAATCAAGACACCCCATTCCCTAGTCGTAATACTTACCTACATAACATACCCACCTGCACTTGGAAGTTTTTGGTATAGTTAATTGGAACAAGGTGAACATAAATTATAACTGGTGGCTGACTGGCATAATTTAAAAAATTATGCGATTTTATGATGGATGTGTTGAAACATTATGCGTGAGCCTACACATTAGCCGCTTTCCAGTCCAGTATGCACATTGGCGCGCTCCAGAGCACCTCGGGGGCGTCACGCACTAGATTTGTACCGTTCCAGTATCATGGCGTGAGACGCCTGTCTTAGTGTCAAATATGTCAAATTTTAAAAATAATTATCTATTTGTTTGTTTGTTTTTTTATTTATCAAAAATGAAAGAGAATCAAAACTATATATTTTAAAATGTTCAATCTTGAGATATAACAAGAAATAAATAGATAAATAGCCACCCACAGATGTGACAGCTGATAGGTTGACGCGTACGTACAGCTCGGGGGCTCCACGCCCCGAGTAGCTCCGGGCTTCACACTCCCATACTGGAAAGCGGCTATGACTGTGCACCAAACTTTCTATTTATGCTATCAGGAGATCGGGGTTTATTTTCATTTTTCAGGAGTTTTTTAAAGTTCAGCTTATTTCTTTATTAGAAGTAGTTTTATTTTGAGAAATTTGCAAAAAGTTTTACTTGAATCTTGAATGACAGACGGTGAGTTCGGCTATTCAGCGCGGAGTTGGAGTGGAGTGAACAGTGCTAATGGAGTCACCCCTGATACCGTAAAAAGCAATACCCGAACCTTAACCCGAACGGCTGGAGTGCGAATGGAGTCACTCCGAGTGCACGGAGTGAGCAAGCCGAACTCACCCAGAATTATAGACGGCCTGCGGCCAGGCGCCTTATTCTGTAAAAAACGAACCGTTCGATTCGGTAGAATTTCTTCGATTGTGACGGCATTTTCGGTTTGGTAGCGCGAAAACCAAACCAAAAATGACGTCACAATCGAAGAAATTCTACCGAATCGAACGGTTCGTTCTTACAGAATAAGGCCCCAGGGCCGGATCTACGATTTTTTCGAGGGGGGGCAAAGATGTTAATTGCCGCCCCCTGTTAGATATTATTTTTTATGTATTTATTCAAAAATCAGACGGGAACATTTTACAATCTATTTATGTAGTGGTGGCGGCTCGTGGTCTATACTGGAAGGGGTTCACACATAAAGTAGGACCTAGTAGTTGAAGATGAAGCCCACCGCAGGTGCTTTGGAGGTTCCCTTTCCGGGTGGCACGTCCAAAACCACTCGGTCTACGACCTCGTCGTTTTAATCTTTCACACTCGTTATTGTAATCATGTTTAAGCACACGTGTGATGTACAACGTTTTATCTACAAATAGAAAAATAGGAAAATGTTTTTTTTCAATTTATCAAAACACAAAAACTAGTTGTGTTATAGAGTCATAATCTAGTCGATAACACCACTAATTGTGTTATGAATTCATAACCTAGTCCATAACACCACTAGTTGTGTTATGAGTCTCATGTCATAGCTCGAATACTAGAAAAATTATGAGCTTCATTGCAGTAACGAATGGAGAATATTGCCAAGACGAGGTCGTAGACCGAGTCGTGGAAATCACACGAGTAGTGTAATGAGCGTTACCGTACGTGTGATACACAACATTTTATGTACGGCCTAGATTTTTTATTATGCATTCGAAATGGTTTTAATTTTTCACAATAGATTATATTTATAATCTGTTCGAATAAATAAATTTCAAAAAGTACCGTTTTTCAATAAAAATTAGTTACGTAATGAGCTCATTACATCACTAGTGATTTCTATTACTTAACTAAGTACAATAATACAATTTATAACGTAACTCAAACAGGCTAAAATGAGTTACGTAATAAGCTCTTACAGTGTTACATAATAATTATTTACATTACAAGTGCGTTTATGAACATGATCACAATAACGAGAGTGAAAAATTGTAGACCGAGTCGTTCTAATCACACGAGTTTTGTAGTTAAGTTTAAACGCACGTTTGATGTACAACGTTTTATCTACAAAGCGAAAAAAAAGAATGTTTTTTGTTTTTGAATTATTTTCGTTTATTAGTAGTGGTCTACCTTCATTTTACCTTTACAGGTTCAACTTTGACATTTGTCAAATCACCAAAAATAGTTGTGTATAACACCACTGTTGTGTTATGAGTATCATGACATAACTCAACTACTAGAAAAATGGTTATGTAAAAACGTCATGACCAAACGCTTGTAGATGTTCGCCCCCCCCCCCTAGATCCGGCCCTGCCTGCGGCCGCCCCTAGATTTGGCCGCCCGCGTGCGGGGCACGCGCTGCACACCTGCTAGGATCGGCCCTGATGGTAGACAGGGTTCGAATCCTGGCTAGACATCTAAGGGCTAGACCGAAAATTATTTTCGGTCAGACATTTAGTGGCTGCCTAGGGTAAAGTGCAAATTAATAAAACAACAACAAAAACACCTCAGGGTATTATAAGCGGGCGTTATGGATCAGGTTGTTATAGGTATGTTAACGTATTTCGTTTTCTAGGTATTATGGATGTATAATAACGAAGTAGAAAATAAAATATTTTGTGTTACAGCAAACATGACATTCTTGCGTCCATGTTGGTTTTATCTCTTCTACTAGTTCTACTTGTATTTGAATATGACATCACGAGATAGTGAAATAATATTCTCATTGGAATCCGGACAGACCGGACACGTTAGCAATCTTTTTCTCCACAATATCCAATGAAACTGACTTCTTCGCTTTTTTTTTGTTCTATTTACGATATCATGCTTTTGATACGTACCTATATAAAGCAAGTAGTGCCAAATACTCGTGTTTCAAATCTGTAACTTTCCGTCCAGTCTAAATTTCAAGCGGAGCTTTATTTTGACGGTTAGACCTGAACATAAGCTGCTGTAGCAAATGGATCATGCTTTATCAGGCAACGACTCAGTGGCATAAATACAGGGGGGCCGCCCCAACTTTGTATAAGAATTATACAAGTGGTATCAGTCTTAGAATAGGGAGGTATTAGTATTCTGTCCTCTCGTTATTTGTGGTCAATTCTATGCTCTATTACCCTACTTTATATTGCTAATGTTGCATGTTGCTATTCTACATCTCTATTATTCTTTGATAATAATCGGGACATAAGACACTTTAGGACATATAAGTACCAGGCATAATTATTTTACTTGTCCGCACTAGTGCGGAAAAGTGATATTTTCTTGGCCTCAATGCGTGCAGAAAAAAGCAGTTTTCGCACGCTCGTAGAAAAAAATAGAAAAATATATAAGGTACCTAACCCAAATAAGGCCATGTACCTAATAAGGCCACTCCTCTTTATTGCTTATTATTGAATCCCATTCTCAAAAATTATAATATTATTACAAAAGAAATCTATATAATGCAAATTAAAAATTATTGCGAGGGTTCCTAGCAACTCGTTATATGTCGAAAAATGGCCAACCACATATTTTATATGTCACGTTATAACTTTGAGGTTGGAACTTAATTAGTTATTTATACTACACATGTTTATAAAGTAAATGGAGCGAATATAATTTTTTAACGGACATTTATGTATTGAGAACGCTACAGAGTAAGTACAGAATATTATATTTGCTAGATTTCTAGTTACAGACTTTTTTTTATCAATTTAACATGCTCCTAATAAGGCCATCATACGAAAAATGTTCAATTGGCCTCACAGCACAGTGTTTTCTCAAAAGAATGTGTCATATCATTAGCTTAGTGGTGTTTTTTGAAATGCCTGGAGTCTAACCAAACTCTTGAGATGCTGCGGTTCATTTGTCCTAGTTGTATGTAGACTTATTTCGATCACCATCCCAGGACTTGGAATTATTGTTTTTTTAAGAATGCAGCAAACATATAAATTCTATTTTGTGTACCTACTATTCCTCAAATAATAATATTTTTATAAATAATTGTATTTATTTTAAACATTTTTTAATGGTGGCCTTATTATTAGGAGCATTATTGTTTTACGCAAAAACCATCACTTGTATGAAAAAATAAATAAATTGGAGTTAATATTCAAATAATAGAAGCGAAACACTTCACATATAAGCTCGTGATTTTTGTTGGGTTTGGTGGATAATGTTGGGGAAAAATAAAACTTCTTAATGTGGCCTTATTTGGGACAGGTACCTTACACTATAAAATAGACGTTTTTGGGCGTGGCATCTGGAAAAAACAATTCACCCACGGCGAGCTTCCCCCTCCCCCTCCCCCTATAAACAAATTTATAAAAATATTATCCTGCATCTATGAGAACTTTCAAAAATCGGCGCCTCTGCCAGGCCCACCCTAGCCCCCCCAGGTCTGATGGCTAGTTACGCCAGTGGGCAACGTATAAGGTAAAGTACCCAATTGTTGACAGGGTCCTAAAAGTTGACACATTAGCATATTATTCCCGAAAATAGGAATTTATAGGGGTTATAAGCTAACTGAAATATAGGTACTCCTGGACAAAATTATCGCACCACCACTGCACATAAGCACCATAAGCAGTGGTGCGATAATTTTGTCCAGGAGTATAGTTTATAGTAGGTATTGTTGGAGCCATCTTGCGTGCTATAGCTGATGTATGGATTTGAAATCACAAGTTTTTCCAAAATGGTGGCAAGAAGTAGTGAACAGGTGCAATTGTTTGAACTTTTTTCAAGATTTCTAGTGAAAGTAGTTAAGAAGATAAAAAAACAAAAGTTCTCAAAGCTAAGGTAGGGTTGATAATTTATTTTTATTTAGGACAAAAATAAGTAAATATGTACAACAAAAAAAAAATCATTTTCCTATACCTGCTATTCAGATATAAAAAATGCAGAATTTCCCGATTGAGCAGTCTAGTTTTCTTTGCCATCCTCTCACATCAGGAAAATTCATTCTACAAAACATCCCACCCCATAGCTCTCTCAACTGCCAATTTCCATTTGGCATATCTTATGTCTCGCTCGTTCTCGCTTAATTTAGGTGCCCACGTTTCGCACGGTATGTCCATGGCCCGACTCAAATCCCACAGTCCTACCGCTGCGCCTGCTACCATTGCTGCGCCCAGCGCTGTACTCTCGGCCATCGTTGGTTTTTGTACTTTGACTCCGGCCAAATCGGATTGAAGTTGCATGAGGAGGGAGTTGGCTGTCATACCACCATCGACCTAAACAGATGTCGTTGATGATGAGGAGTTTAAATTAACTGATATTTACCTGTAAGTTAATCAAACGCGAACCATAATCCTTATTCATAGCTTCCAAAATGTCTCTAGTTTGATAACAAACAGCATCTAAAGTGGCTCTAACTATATGACAGCCCTCAGTATCTTCCGAAATTCCTATAATAACCCTACAAAAGACAAATTATCATAATAATATACCATTATTACAGATTTAGGTTACCCTCTGGCTTCTTGCTGCCAATATGGCGCATAAAGTCCACTAAAAGCTGGCACAAAGTAAACTTCTCCAGCTTCCGCCAGTTCAGCTTCTTCGGCTATTTTTTGAGCGTCTTTAAATGAGTCTAGTAAGTTCATGTTGTCTTTTAACCAATTCAGTGCTGCTCCGGCTATTGCAACTGATCCTAGAAGAATTATATCAATGCTATATTAATTTATAATGATTTTCTTTTATGTATTAAGTCAATAGGGCTTTTAGCTTTTCAAGTATAGAAATAAACGTGATCACTTCAAGCTTTCACCATGCAGAATTAAACTTGGTTTCAAATAAGTTAATAAGGAAATATGCCAACATTAATCATTCTCAAAGTACAAATCTATAATGAGTTAACCTATGAAGCTCACAAAAGTTATTCTAGGCTTTAAATAAGCAGTCTTGAATTTACTGAGATTAATTAAAAGTACCTACTGCGATATGAAACCAATACCAGACGTTAGCTTATTACAGTACGGTGCACTGAGCTACACCAGAATTATCAAGAATGTCGCAGTAGATCAGAAATGAGTGTCGCAATAGGGTAAGATTGCCAATTTACCAAAATTCAGCAGGAACACACTAACGGGATAAGAGCTTAAATCTCATAGGAGGGTACAAAATTTTCCAAAAGCTCACAAAATTAACCCTAACACTATGTAACCTGTATTGAACTATCTGTCCATAGAGTAGGTCCAAGTGAGGAAAACAGTTCTAACATAATTTCCAAATTAAAATTTCAGTTGAAGGTTTTCGGCTTTGCAAGTTCTGAAGCTGTAGCACTTTGTTTTTTAGCTCTTATTTTCTATATGGAGTTCCAACTAAACGAAAGTAAGTAGGTATAACAATGGAATATTTGATAAATCTAGAATGTTAGTTACAGGAAGATTTCAGCTGGATAAAAGTTGAGCAGGCCAGTGGTCTACTCTAACTTCCCCAAAAAGAGTTGATTTAGAACTGTAAATAAAGATTGAAGCATATAAGATATCCGTAAGATTATATTATCTTACCTTCTAAAGCATACACAGGTTGTGCTTTGGGGCCTAATTGGTAAGCTACAGTCGTAATTAAGCCATGCGAACTGCTAACTTTAACATTTCCTGTATTATACAACAAAAAGCATCCGGTTCCATAAGTAGCTTTGGCTTGACCTCTTTGCAAGCATTGCTGTCCCAATAAGGCACTTTGCTGATCTCCCACGCATCCAGCCAGTGGTACTCCGCTTAACGAACCTTTTTCGATATTCCCATAAACTTCCGAACTGGATTTGATTTTAGGTAAAACACTGGCAGGTACTCCAAAAAAGTTGAGCAATACGGGATCCCATTTAAGGCTGTCGATGTTCATGAGCATCGTCCTAGAAGCATTGGTAACGTCTGTTATGTGCAGTCCACCGTTTACGCCTCCCGTCAGGTTCCATATTAGCCAAGAATCGATGGTTCCAAATAGGCAATCGTTTGCAGCTACCGCTTTTTTTACTTTCGGGACGTTATCCAGCAACCATCGAAGTTTCACAGCACTGAAATAAGGCGAAATCGGTAGGCCGCATAAAGGTTTTAGGTAATTTTTGTTTTTGCTTTTGTTTGGAATTTTTTCTAGGAGTTGGTCTACTGTAGATGACGTGCGCACGTCAAGCCACACTATGGAATTGTAGAGGGGTTTTCCAGTCGATTTTTCCCAAACCACTGTGGACTCTCGCTGATTTGTTACACCTAAAAAAAATTCAATGTAGATTAATTTGTGCGCCAGTAATAATCGAGATTTGTATTTTTTTGTTGTTGTTGCTTGGATGTTGTTTGGTCATTCGACATTTCTCACAGTTCTTAACAAGAAGGAAGACGTTTCATCAGAACATTTCGCACAACCACAACCTGTCTTACCCTATTGACATATCAGGGGATATTGTCTTGAATTTCTGAATAACAAAACTAGAAATAGAAGGAAAAATGGTGAAAAACAAAAAAGAACAAGACTCGCAAACGAAAAACCGCACAGAGTTGGAAAAGCATTGAAGACCAACACAAAACTATGTCAAGACATATAGGGAAATGAATAAAATTGCGATCACCAAATGGAAAGGTGACGGGTGACGGTAGCAGCATTTAAATTTAAAAATATGGTGATATAACATTAGCAACTTCGTAGATGAGTTATTCTCATCCCCTTAGATTTCAAACAGCTCCATGAAAAGTATTCTAAAATTGAGTCTCATTTTCATACTGTCTGTAATCTATTCTCGGCGAAATCCTGATCCACTCTGATAGAGATCAGCCACGTAAACTGGTAATGCAGCTTCATCGGCTGGTATTCTACCAAACATTTGGATCTACGAGAAGCTTTATTTACCGGTTGATTCTTGCTGAAAGCTTCTATAAGCCAGAAGAAAAAGGGTCACCAGTTTATTTCAGTTTTGGCTGTTGCACATTCAAAAACTTCTACTGATTATGTTGTGAGATCGTGTCTCTCAACCATTGTATTGAACTATGGACTAAGGATGGAATCGTTCTGGTTTTTCTTATTCCCAGTAATTTTTGAATTATTCTGAAGCGTTTCAAAATGTTACTGGAAAGTGTTTCGGAACGTTCTGAATGGCTTAGTAAAGTTCTAAAGTACTCTAACTTGGCTTGGAGAGTTCTGGAACGTTCTAGAAGTTCTTCAGTAATCACTAAATTGTTCTGACAGTTTTTTAAGTGTTTAAGGACCCTATTGAAGCTCCAAAGTGTTCTAAAATGGTTCAAAACAGTTCTTAAAAGTTTCCAGTTCTAAATTGAATGCTAATTATTGTTCTAAAATAACTCAGTTTCTCAATCGTTCCAAATTTCTCCTGAAAATGTGGATGCCTAATGCTTATCAAAGGTCCAAAGTTCTACAGCAATCTAAATTCGCTCTTGAAAGCCTTCTGACAGGCGTTTTGTAACTTTTACCCTGAATCCTAAGATTCTGGCGCTTTTCAAAATGTTTCTGGAAATTCTAGTGTTTGAGTGATTTGTAGTGTCCTAAAATGGGTTTCAAACTTCTGAATTGTTCTTAGATGCTTTAGGGAATTGTAAATCGGTTGTCGAATGTTTTGGGAAATTTTAAAATAGTTCTGAAATTTCCAAAATGTTCTGAAGCGCTACAAAATGCTTTTGGAAATTGTGAATTGAATTTAAAGTGTTTTAAACATTTTAAAAGGCTTATTAAAGTTATAAAGTGTTCAGTAGCATTCTAAATGGTTTCCAGTAACTTCTGAACTAAATGAGATACGAATTCTGTGGGAATCTCAAAGATGTCCACAAACGACATTCAAGACGTCTTGCTTACGTCTTTAGGGTGTCTTATAGACATCTCGTGTGTTACGAAACCCAACGTCTTTCAGACGTCTGCCTAAAGACGTCTTCAGGACTAAGACATTCCAAAGACGTCTTCAACGAAAAGTCTCAAAGACTTCTTTGAATCTCTTTTCAATACATAAACCATTACCCACTTTTAGGCCTAGTTGTCCAAATAGTTGTCTTTAAAATGTGAATTTACGACATCTCTAGTGGGGTGAGAATGGTGAGATAGGTCAGAAAAGTTTCAGATCTGGCAACCGATGCGCCCCTTTGGGTTCAGATAGTATACGGGTAGATGAGTCCAAAAAGCCCAGGACACAAATTTTTTTGGCCTTATAGCGGCGTTGATGACGTAATCAATATGACCCCCAAATTTCTCTGTGACATGATTGTACGATTCCCTATATAGGTAACTCGAATTATCAACCTAGGTATATTATAAGTGATTATTAATCAGAAGACGCGCTTTCCAACGGTATATTGCACATAATCATTTAGGCACATAATCCAGAAATACTCGCAACTTTATTAAAATTGTTGATTTTTGTTTTCATTTTTCTAAATAAAAGTTGTTGAAAATTAGTCAAAACATTGTAGTGTCGCTAATAGAGCATCTTTTTAAAAAAATTATTCAATCATGTCAAAAAAGAGGAAACGTGAATTAGTTGATGCTACGACTGACCTAGTGCTGGTTCGATTGGTATGGGACCTGTGTTTGTTATGTTAGAAGCATTCAAAAGAGCGTTTGATTATCCCGAAGCATGAAGGTGATTTAACAATGGCAAAGAATCTTGCAATTTTTGCTGAACATGGTCAGCTTCCAAGTGGTACAAGAAATTTGGACCAGTTGAACGATGGGCGTGGTCTTTCACAATCACTAGTAACCCGTGGAGCAAAATATCACAAATCTTGCAAGAACAAAATATGACAGTCAAAAGGGGGAAATACTATCTTGTGAAAAGAAACCGAAAAAGCGTCCATTTTGCTCAGACCAAACTTCATCTACATCAAACTTCACAAAATCATCATTATTTTGTTCAGATGTGAGAATCGTGTGTCTGTTTTGTGACGAAGAAGGTAAAGACAAACTGTGACTGCATCCACGCTGGGCATCGGGCCTAAAATTTATAGTCATGCTGTACAATTACAAGATGAAAAAGTGTTGAAGAGGTTATCAACAGATGTTGTAGCATTAGAAGCCAAATAGGTACCACAAACTATGCTGTACTCGCTTTCTAACACGTTCACAAGCTACTGAACGTTCTCAAAGACAAGAATACTATAATCTCGAAAAAGTTGTTTATGGTGCAGTTATAACGGAATTGGTTCAATAACATGCAGGATTTATACTCATCTGGTAGTACCTACTTCTCCATCAGTGTTTAAACTTTCTTATGTTACAAAATTAGTGTCTGAACGCATGACTGACATGGGAATTTAATGCAAGATTCGAGTGTAAGAAATATTAGCCACAGTTACGAATGTACATATTGTGTAAACAATATATGGAAGATGGTGTTGCCAAAAGTGTGTTCCACTGTATTTGTAGCATTAGCCAATAGACAACATTGACCACAATCGATCTTCTTTTACTGCCGTTACTATGTTCCATGGTTCAAGTGTTACGATTATTCAACATCCTCACAATGACATAGGCCGCGTTCACCAGATACAAACGTTGGTAAACGGTTTGCGATTGTTCTGCTGAACGCTACGTTGAATTTGTATTGAAACCAAACATGTTTTGCAAACGGTCGCCATTTTTGCAAGCATAATTTGAGAGTATTTATAATTTTCAGCACTGTGTTTTGTGTGGTGAGGTGACCTGTCATTCAGAGGGTGACGTTCTATCATTGAAAAGTTGAATCGTTCAGCAGAACCAAGAGTTTACCCAACATATTCTGTTGGAATTTGTAAACTGTTTACAATCCGTTTTGATTCTGGTGAACGTAGCCATGTTATGGAGATTGACGATGACAGCGTTCGTATCCAGCAGTGGAACCATCAAATTGTCAATGGCCTCCCTGAATATTATACTACTCTTTCTGCAACTGGTAAAGTTAGAAGTGACTCTCCTTTACCAACTATCAATCCACATTACACTGACCATGTTCCTGCCTTCACTCCTAGGCAAGTCTTAAATCCTTGGCTTAACTCTGTCCTGGAGAGATTGCATATTGAAGACATAGAGCATATGCATAAAGTAATCTTCGCTGCTTTTCGTGCACAAAACGAACCTGGTTTTAGAAATATAAAATGCAATGCGTCATTGTTTCCACTTCTAAGTGACGAAATTGCAACGCCAGCAATGGTATATGATAGATATCATAATAAGGGTTACAGCAAAATTAAATGGAAATCAAGCTCCCGTAATTACATATTACACAGTGTGGTTTTCGTCCAGGAATATGTTAATGAAAAGTCGGTTTTCGGCTTATTTGGACTTAATTTAATGAAATATCTAAATCAACAGCCAACGCTTCGACGCATTCCGCGTCATTATCAAGGCTAGATTATTAAAGATATGAATCACATCACTCGTACCGATCCATCAATAAAAACAAACAAAAAAGTTCACACACCAATCGGTACTCGAGTACCGAAATATCACGGTAAGTAATAGTACCGCTCTTTGGTGTGTGAACTTTTTTGTTTGTTTTTATTGATGGATCGGTCCGAGTAATGCGATTCATAGCTTTAATAATCTAGCCTTGCTTGGCTGTTGATTTAGATATTTCATTAAATAAAGTCCAAGTAATTATATATAACCATCGCATATAACCAACCAGTATATGCTATTGGAAAGCAACTGCGGTGGAAGTTGTCTGACAAGTATGACGAGGTCGCATCACATTCATGATGGGTGGCCTTCACACAGAAATGATGGTCATTAACTTACTTGGCAAATGGTTTACTGGCAGTGGATGGACTGAATTAGTGACAGCCGCTGGTATTGCAAGTTCTGGTGTTGCGAAATCCTGCCTCATATCACCCCATGTAAAAACATCTCGGTATGCACACGAAGATACTTTAACTGCCTTGCATTATCCACAGATAAACGCATTCAACAAAGCATGCGAAACAAATTCCAACAACCGTGGAGAAGGCATTGAACTGTGGATTTTGTTGAAAACATTTGATTGTCCTGAGTTCCAATATTGGAATAAAGTTATCAAACTGGAGTCCCTTCTAGTGCAACTTGTATTGAGTATTCGTATATAACTTTACCATGTACGTCAATGCTTTGGCTCAGCTATTTACGTGGACATTTGCGTTGGACGCAATCCATTACTTTCGTTGGTTGCCAGTGTTCGTATACGCACTCTACAGAACCTTCCAGAAAAACATCCAAATATAAATGCTGAATTTCTTCGTGGCGACTTCACGAGCAGCAAAAC